AGCATTACTTTTGGTACAAACCATAGACAAACAGAGTGAAAGCAATATGGTCAGAGACAGCAAATTTCAAGTAAATTTGTTTGGGTAGAGAAAAGATTTATTTAAGAATAAAAACAGTTCATAGCAATTCTAAAGTGAAGCCTGAGCAGGTCAAAGAGGAATACCACAGCCTTAATGGGATTTATTGCATCTGGGTACATTATATCACTCACCATTAGACAAATGTATGAACATCATTTGATGCTTTAGCTGAGTACTTGCCATCAGTCCAACAGTAATTAGCAGCCTTCCAATATAATAATTGTATTCAGCAAGGAAGACAAAATGATTTCAGAAAACAGGGGGTTCTGTCCAATTGTTTTGTTAAAAAATCCAAGCTTTCTGAATAAATTTGAATTCACAAGATATTTTCTGTCCCTCACTATGTCCCAAAATTACTATGTAAAATAGTCGGCAAAAAATGATCAATGAGTGATTGAGATTGCAATTCAAAACTTCCAAATTAGCCAGTCTTTATTACAACAAATAGAAACTATTATAGTCACTTCCTAAACCTTTAACACTCCAACATGCACCTACCAGGCTGTTTCAAATAGAATTTAGAAGTTTGGGATTTTTTGTAATTTGACAAAACCCCCTGGTTATCTGACTCTGCAAAGCTCTTTATAAAAGCTCAGTTAGGATACTTCAATTTGGTAAAGTGTATTTTACTCTATACATTATTTATCAATTCACATTTACATCTATAAATTGAGAACAAAGAAGTGATACAAAGCAGTTATTGCATAGCAAAAAAAGCTGACTAATTTCATTAGATTATTCACAACAATGTGCAAAGACGCATGAAGATATAGGGAGTAACATTTAGATAAGCAGTGGTTCAAAACGACAGCATTCTTTTAAGATGAGACTTTCTACAATAAATAGAAACTTTTGAAACAGACAACAAAAAACATCTGAAGCATTTACAAGAAAGGTGAAGGAGCAGCCCCCACCCTCCCCCAAATAAAATAAAATTCTATACAGTTTTATCTACACAGGTTATTTAAAGTTATATTTCCACAGAAACTAGAAGCCCTTACATCTGAAGTATATTTTTCTTACAGCAATATTGCTAAAATATAAGGCAGTTATGAAGATGAGGGGTTTTGTCAGCTTGACTTTGTTAAGGTAACACTGTTATACTTCCAAGTCCTCCTTCAACACTGCGCTTTTCAACTACATAAGTATATTGTTTGTAAATAAATATTTGGATAATATATTTACAAACTGGACTTAATTAAAGGGGAAGTATGCATTACTAAATTGCACCAAAATTGTTAATTGTCATAAAAAGAAATGCCTTTACAACTACTGGTGCCTTTCAGTCTGACAGAGCTACTAGTATTTTAAGCTTTAGAATGAACTGTTCAAAAACTGCCTGCAAACTGACATTTTAAGCTGATCTCGCATAACATGTCTATAAATTTTGCTGCACTGGCATTATCGATTCGGATTACTTGGAACGGCATTATCCTTCCTACAAAAAGTGGCACTGGAATTAATCAAACTGATCACTGCACAAAACTCTGTTACTCAGGCTGTCTCGAAGTTTGGTGCCAAAACTCAGGAATACCAATATGTATAAAAAGCTTCTTTGGATTATTTAGAAATGTTGGGTCAATTCATTAGAACATATTTTCCTTATCTTCCTTGAATTGAATGGAAGAGGTCAGAATTATTTCACAGTTTTATTTAAAAAAAAATCACTATAACATATGTCAGTGTGTACAGTACATACTACTTATTTGTGCCATTTATTTTTCAATTGTTTCATTGCTTGGTCTTTTTGATATAAGAAATTTTGCACAACACCACAGTTTTTTTTAGTCGAATGTACTCTCCAAAATGAATCACTCCAGTAACATTAATTGGATATTAAAGAATGAGTAAATTTGTGGAAACGAATTCAACAAGTTCTTTTCAGCTCAGGTTGATAGATGGGGATCCAGCATTGATTTTTTTTTTAAAACCCTTGTACAACCAACACATTCAAGATTTGAACAAGATTTTGCCAATGAGGTTTGTGGATTGAACAAAGATGAAGATTAGTGAGCAGAATGTAGTTTCACAGAGAACAAAGCAAAAAGAAAATTCTTCGGCACTATTTTTTGAAGATGTTTTTGAATAATTGTATTGATTAATTGCTTATCAAATTTCAATAGCAATTTCATAAAATTGAAATGTTGTGCAGCTCATAAAACTAATATTAAAAAGCTAACTTATTATCTGATGTATGATTGTGTCCTACAGTGATTTCATTGAGAATTGAGCTTCCCTCTGCACTGATCAAACACTATCTTAAATACATTTGTATTACTTAATGTCAGTTGCAGTCCTCTCAGCATATTCATAAGACAGGAAGAATGCAATTTGTAGAAAACAGAAGTTAAATCTCGGTAACACTTTGAAAAAGAAGAATATCACCTCAAAGTTTTCAGGCCTGGTATACTTTGTTAGAAGTTCTCAATTATTTATATTTCAGATCATATGATGAATATCTCAAGTTTTAACTTCAGTTGTCCTGATTGATCAAATATGGATGGACCAATCCATATTTGAAAATATTGGAATTTTGTTTCTTAAATCTGATGGTTCCTAGAACATTGACCATAATGCACATTAAATTAGTTTGTAATTGATTGAAAATTGAAGCGTTTCATCAGCATGTGGCCCATCCCCAGCAGTCTACACGTAACTTTAGTGAGAGCCCAACGCATATCATTGCATGATAGATTTAGCCATATGGCTCCATGTGATAACTCCTCAGATGAGTGCCAGAAGGTTGACAGAAACACATGGTCAAAATGTCTCATTACTGTTGATGGCAGAGCAGAGAACGTACACATGATGTGATATCTTGATTTTGATGGTTGGGGGGGGGGGGGGGGGGGGGGTGTGGAGACATATGGTAGGAATATGGATATGATGAAAACAAAAACAACAGAACATGAATGAAAAATGATATCATACTTCATTTAGAACATCCCTACAACCTGCTCAGAACATTATCATTTCCTTCCTTGCCTCATCTATGTCCCTGGATTTCCCATTGAACTGGGATTTGACTCTTTTTTTTTCAAATTTCATTGCTTTAATTAGTTCAAATTGTTGATATGAATTAGAGTGGTTAGGATTTACACATCAAAGCTGAATGAGAGGTCCATATAGTGCAATGTTGCCAACAGCAGTGAAAAGGGTTTTGCAAAGTCTTATCTTTTCGATTTAGAAAAGCCAGTTTTTTTTTATTTTTGTGTTGGTGTCTAGCACCATTATGAATATCTCTGTTGTAAAACATTGCCAAACAAACAGTCACGCGAGAAGGATTCAAGGATGTCATTCTGTTTCCTTAGCAACACAAATAACTCTGATGGGCAAAACTGTAAGATTCTCCTCCCATAAAAAAACGTACAACCATACAAGCAAAATCTGGAGGATGCTGGAAATCTGAAATTAAAGCAGAAAGTTCTGGAAATACCCAGTAAGTTGAGCAGCATCAATGGAAACAGAAGTATAGTTAATACTTTTAATCAAATATGAGTCATATTTGACACAAAACATTAGTAGTAGTTCTCCACAAATTCTGTCAGTAACGCCAGGTATTTTCAGCACTTTGTGCTTTAATTTAATTACCATAAGCACTTTGTCACCTGAAAGTCATGAAAATCAGTTCATTCAAACATGAACAAGAAGATGTTTTGCGCAAGAAAACATTAATAAGCTTTGGCAGGAAGACCATTTGGAGTGCTGTGCTATTCCCTGTTATTCTATTTTTGTAGTTTGAAACTAACGAGGGCAAAATAAACAAGACATTAAAATAACATTATCATATTTAATAATTGGTAATTGACAAAATAAGTCAATTTTGTGACCTCTTCGTTTTGTGAATTTCCAGTTTTCAAAAGAATGCTTGCATGATTCTTTTTAACCCTTTCCAATGCAGGCTTTTTCAGTGGTTTTCGCTGGTATCTTCCCCAGCTCAAAAAATGGAATGAACTAACTTTACTGATATCTCTGAAACAGAAGTTAAAGGTTTTTGGTATCACATCCATATACCACTTAAATCATAGGATATTTAGGATTTTCCAGGCTTTTATGTAATGCAAATCGAAATGCCCTTGTCATTTAAAGCAAGTATATGTGTAGCTAATTTTACAGTTTTTGGAAGGAAGAGGGAGGAGATTTCATAAATTAATTTGAAAAGTGCACTTCACTTATCCAGGCAAGAAATTATTATGTACCAGTTGACACCACACACTCCTTATATTATGGTCTTATTATTCAATAAGGAACTGTTTAGGTCACAAGCCTCATTGGCTATTTTAATATCTATTGCCACCTTAGAGTAAAGTTTGATGCATAAAAATTAATTGTATTCAAAACTATGTTTTACTCATGTACTGTTATAAATAGATGGTTTGTATAATTTGAAAGGAAATATAGCTAAGCCATATACAACCTACACAGTATAAATTTCTACATTTGAAAACTTTTCCCCCAAAAGATCCTGAAAGTAAACAAAAATAATCCATATAGTCTGCAGCCAATGATGATCATGTACTTTACCTAACTACAGAAACAAGCTTCTCACTATTTCTGGTTAAGAGATGATTAAGACTATTTCACTATTATACATAAACCCTGCTGTGACAATAGTTTAATCCAAATTTCTTCTGTCATGGACATGCTGCTTAAGGAAAGTTGCTGTAAAATGAGAATAGATAATCAGTAATAATTCTGTTCAGTCAGCTAGGATCACAGAACTAGACTGGTCTTACCACCAATGTAATAATGCTTTATACACTTAGACAGAGAGAGAACTTGAGAGTTTTCTTTCAAGTTGTCAGATAGATATTAGGATTTTGTATCAGAAAGGGAGAAAGAGAAAGAAAATATGCAACAAATTGAATGGGGAGCTATAATCTGTTAGAAGTTTGATGTAATTTTCCAGCAAATGAAATTATTTTGAAATCTAAGCTTTTTTTCTATGCTTCCTAGTCATGCTCGTCATCACCTTTGATAACTAACTCTCTATTCAAATAAGTAGCCCAATAAACCAAGTTGAAAATCCCAAACATTAATGGAAATGCTATTCTGGCCAGTCTGTCAATTTTACTGACACTGTTGAAAGTTTTCTTCGGTTCTGGAGGCTTTTGTTCTGGTTTGGGTTCTTTTGATTCGGCACCAGCACTCTTTGCAATAGTTGCCAAGCCTGCATCCTTTGCAATGTTTGGTGCAAAGTTCGCTGATGTTGCTGTGTAGGTGTTGTTTTTCTTCAATAGAGCCTCTCGGTCCTTTTCCTTTCTCTGTGAAACAAAATTCAAAACATTTTTCCAAGAAATAGTTTTGAGGAAAAGGTATATCAATGTTATCACGAACAAAAGCACTACACATAAACAACTCAATTTTTCCTATATGTTCCACAGATTATGCTGTATTTTTTCCAATTGTCCTTAGTCGCAGTCTTGTGGATAGAGAAAAGGTAATGAACATCAGTCTAACATCAGCCATACGTTCATTTGCCCTATCTTTCCATTTCTACTATCACTAGCATGTGGCACCGGGAGTAATCCAAATACTACTACCCTCAAGGGCCTACATTTTAGCCTCCTAGAACCTTGCAGGAAACTAGGGAAGTAATTGCTGGGCCCCTTGCTGAGATATTTGTATTATCAATAGCCACGGGTAAGGTGCCAGAAGACTGGAGGTTGGCTTACACGGTGCCATTATTTAAGAAAGGTGACAAGGAAAAGCCAGGGAACTATACACCTGTACAGACATTAGTGGTGGACAAGTTGTAGGAGGGAATTTTGAGTGAAAGGATTTACATGTATTTGGAAAGGCAAAAACTGATTAGGGATAGTGAATATGGCTTTGTACATGGGAAATCATATCTCACCAATTGGACTGAGTTTTCTGAAGATCTGAAGAAGTGATAAAGAGGATTAATGAAGGTAGAGTGGTGGACTTTGTCTATATGGACTTCAGTAAGGCATTTGACAAGGTTCTGCATGGTGGACTAGTTAACAACGTTAAAACATATGGGATACAGAGAAACCTAGGCATTTGGATACAAAATTGGCTCAAAGGTAGGAGCCAGAGGGTGGTGTTGGAGGGTTGCTTTTCGGACTGGAGGCCTGTGACCACCAGTATGCTGCAAGGATTGGTACTGGGCCCACTGCTTTTTGTAATTTACATCAATGATTTGGATGTGAATATAGGAGGTATCGTTCGTAAGTTTGCAGATGACATCAAAATTGGAGGTGTAGTGGACAGCGAAGGTGGTTACCTCAGAGTACAATGGGACCTCGATCAGATGGGCTGATGGGCCAAGGACTGGCAGATGGAGTTTAATCTAGATAAATGTAAGGTGCTGCATTTTGGTCAGGCAAATCATGGCAAAACTTATAACTTAATGGTAACAACATAAGAACGAGGAGCAGGAGTAAGCCATCCGGCCCTTTGAGCATGCTCTGCCATTCACTAAGATCATGGCTAATCTTTTCATGGCCTCAGCTCAACTTACTCACCATCTCACCATAACGCTTAATTCCTTTACTGTTCAAAAAATTGTCCATCTTAGCTTTAAAAACATTCAATGATGAAGCCTCAACTGCTTCACTGGGCAGGGAATTCTACAGATTCACAACCCTCTGTGTGAAGTTAGTCTTCAATTCAGTCCAAAATCTGCATCCCCCAATTTTGAGGCCATGCCCTGTTGTTATAGTTTCACCCGCCAGTGGAAACATCCTTCCTGCTTCTCTCTTAATATTCTTCATAATTTTGTATGTTTCTATAAGATCCTCCCTGACCTGGCGCATGTTGCCGAACGAAGACCTGGGTGTGCAGGTTCATTGTTCCTTGAAAGTGGAGTCGCAGGGAGACAGGATAGCAAAGAAGGCATTTGGTATGCTTGACTTTATTGGTCAGTGCATTGAGTATAGGAATTGGGAGGTCGTGTTGCAGTTAACAGAACATTAGTTAGGCCACTTTTGGAATACTGTGTTTTATTCTGGTCCCCCTTCTATAGGAAAGATGTCAATAAATTTGAAAGGGTTCAGAAAAGACTTACAAAAGATGTTGCCAGGGTTGGAAGGCTTGAGTTATAGGGTGAGGCTGAATAGGCTGGGGCTATTTTTCCTGGAGTGTTGAAGGCTAAGGGATAACCTTATATAAGTTTAGAAAATCATGAAGGGCATGGCTAGGGTGAACAGTCAAGGTCTTCTTCCCAGAGTAGGGAAGTCCAAAACTAGGGGGCATAGGCTTAAGGTGAGAGGGGAAGGATTTGAAAGGAACCTGAGGGGCAACATTTTCACGTAGAGGGTGGTGCATATATGGAATGAACTGCCAAAGGAAGTGGTGGAGGCTGGTACAATTACAACATTTAAAAGGCAACTGAATAGGTATATGAATGGGAAGGCTTGAGAGAGATATGGGTCAAATGCTGGCAAATGGGAGTAGATTAATTTAGGATATCTGGTTGGCGTGGACAAGATAGACCGAAGGGTCTGTTTTCGTGCTGTACATCTCTATGACTCTAAGTGTATCTCAAATAAGTAATTCAGGCATTAGATCATTTAAGTGGTGTGTGCAAGAAGCAGAACCATTATGGATATAGGAAATGTGTCAAAATCATTTCAACATCAAGGACAAACGTTCTTGAAATTCTTGATTTATAGAATCATCTTAAGAATAAAATCAGTTTTAGGCATCAGAAAAAGCCATTTGTTTGAGATAAAACAGGGTTGAATTTATATTTAATGATCTGCAGAGTTGTGACCTGGTGTGAGTGGTCGACAGAGTTTTGAATTTTCAACAGCTGACATATGGAAAGTGCAGAGAAATGCAGTTCTCACCAATTAATGGCCCCTTAAGCTCATTAAGGAGTTGTTAAGAACTCTGTACATATTGCACAGAATCGGGAACCACAGTCACGATTGGGTAAAAATATTTAATAGGTTCAGCAAAACGTCTTGGATGTCATGCGGTATGCCTTTGTTTCCAAAGCCCTCAAAAACTCAGGTTCAGTATGATATATGTTACAGTCTCTGCTTTGTCAGTCATGACCCACATGGTCAATTATATCATGGAACTGGCTCCATCAGCTCTACATAATGTTGGACAGCAACATCCAAGTGTTATAATCCATCTTTGATTTAGAAATTCCCACTCTCTCCCATATTTCCTTCTCCTGTCTGATAAATATCCCTTGTACATAACAGTCATATGTACCTATTAGGGACTTCATGAATTCTAACATCATCAGACTTTCTCCCTAGGCACCTAGACAGAAGCCTACTCTAGAACAATGAATTCAAACTTCATAATTGCATTTGACCTTCTCAATATTTCTCCATCACTTGTCTCTCTATTGAAATGGCATTATTTGTGCTTCTTCTGGCCGTGAATCCGAATTGACCTTCATTGTTTTCCACGACTGTTCTGAATATCTAGTTCATGCCTCTCTCCTATTACCAAGATGGATGTCTGGAGTAGCAAGAAAGGACAAATTCAGCACGTCAGGGGTCAGTGAAGACAGTGGACACCTCACAGGACATAGCTAAAAAAAGATTGAACTGGAATGCAGTAGGAGTCTGCTTCCTCAATACATTTTGCAATTCTGAATGTCTCTTTGATTGCTTTCACGCTTGTGGAATTCTCTCTCTTATCATGAAACATTTGAGAAAACTTGTTCAGGATCTGGACCATGTATGCACTGAATGTAGGTCCATACTTCTAATGATATTGCCTCTGATCTTGCTGCTTTTGTCGTTTTACATTCCTTTCAGTGTTCTGATTCCTTCCAGATCGATGCCACCAAATATTCCTTGATTTATACCTAGCTATTCCATCTTTGTGTCAGGTTTTCTTAATTCATAAAAAGGGCTAAGTATTGGCCCCACTTCTCTCTGATTTTATCCCCTTTGACAAAGATCACTTGACCTGCATCCTTGATTGCACATGTATTTCACACCCATTTTGCTAATCTATCTCTAGTAGCTGCTGTACTGAAGATACATTTTTGCTTTGTTCCAAATCAGACTTACGTATATTTCTTCCATGATCAGGGATCCTTTTCTAACAATCACTTTCATTGCATCCCTTTTGCCCTGGTCGCACTGATGTTTACCTTCTTGAACCCTAGCGTGTTCACTTCAACACTTTCTTCTTTTATTTGACTGCACATTCTGTATTTTCATTTCAACACCAACCTACTTTTTTTTTGTTATTCCTCTCCCAAACAATTTTTCACACACTTCCTCACAAGTTTTCCTATTCAACTCTCCATTGAATTCAATTGGTGTTCAACCTTTCTGTTGTCGCTTCTATTTCTCTTAGCTTTTTCTCCAACTGCTCTCCAAACTTCTTTCCTTTACTTTGTAATTAATACTGCGATCAGCATTCTATGTTGGGTCGTAAGTGTCTCAGTTGTAAAGATTTTGCAGTTCTTTGCTTTAATTGCATGGTCTTTTCTAACCAATGTGCAATTCAGCAATTTTTATCTACCAACAATGGGGCCAACTTCAGAGACATAAAATCGCTAGTAGTGAATTGACTGTCCAACAATATGCCCACCCAAATTTCTACTGAAATCATTGACTGATAATCCCTTCTCAAGTTTCTCCAGCGCAGTATTAACACTTTCTTGATCAAATATAAAGTATTGTCCAGGTAGTCCTGTCCTCAAAAACCAGGACAAATTCAATTCAGGCAATATACCACTGCATCAGTCTACTCTCAGTCATCTACAAAATGATGGATGATGACAATGATATCAAGTGGTGTTCATCACTAGCCTACAAACTAATGTTTAGGTTAGGTACGTGAAGTTTATTTGGCTGCAGAAACTATTATAATCTTGGTCCAAAGATGGAAAAAAATAGCAAGACCCAAGAGGTGAGTTGAAGGTTTTTGCCCATGCTATGAAAGCAAACCAAGGGTGGCACCAAGGAAGTTTAGTAAAGCTAATGTCAATGAAGATTGACGGAAAACCTTTCATTGCCTGGAGTCAAGCCTAGCACAAAGGAAGATGAATATGTTGTTGGAGGTCAATTAATGTTACCATGAAAGCAGGTTAAAGAATATTTTATTCCGTCACTCCCAAAGCCTCTCTTCTACCTCCAAATCTTGTCAGAAGAGTGCAAAAATATGACAGATCAATATTACTATTTATGAGATGCACTGCAACAAATTGGAAAAGTTTCTACAGTTTCAAAACCTAGAAAGGTAAGGGCAATAGGTGTATGGAAATGTCACCACCTTATGTTACCAAAAACCACCGTTGAACATTTTCACCAAATGAACGACACTAGCTCAAGAAGCTGGCGCAGTATCGCTTCTTTAATCACAATTAGGGATGTGCAATAAATATTGCCAGCAATATCCACATTGCCTGAATAAACAAAAGAAGAAGTTAATAATTGCAAACAAAAATAAGATGGGTTATATAAACACCCACAGGCACGGTAAAAATTACCCATCTGAATGAATTGGGTTGTGAGTGCTGTTTGTAACATCATAAATAGTTTTCTTTGTTTGTGTAAATCTCAGAGTCTCCAGTGGGATCTTTTTGTATGAAGCCATTCAATAGATAACATAATCGTGAAGTTTTAGTGTCAAAATAATTAGGAAATTGATCACACAACTGCTTAGTTTGAATCTGATTCAGTACATTGCTATAATATGTCAAATGGCTGCTTTAAGAGAACATAAAAACTCCCTGACAAGTACATAGTGTCTACCCACTTAAAAACATCAGTCATCCTTTTCTAACTATACATATCTTTTTGTATGGTCAAATGACAGAATACAAACTATTAGACAATTTAAAAGGGTACGAACAAGATTTTTACATTTTTTTTAGGGGGAATGAGTAAATGTTTTGTGAGGTTTCACTCAAGGTATTGCCAGCTACCCAAGGAGTTGACAAAATTCTACAGCAAGTATTAACAAGTACCTATCCCACATATTTTTCCTTCTGTTGCAATCACACCTAACCACAATTGCAAGAGCAAACATAAAGCTCAGGACATGCTGTTCTGCGGCCAACTGCTAGAAATCAGGCAATAGCAAATCAAATTAATTTAGCCTGGATTTCTTTTCCCCTCTCCCCATCAGTTTTGCTTATGAGATTTCTTTGGGTGATCTAGCTCGGATCAATAAATTGTCAAATGTGGTAATTTCAAAAATATATCCACTTTTAACTATGCCATGACTCAATGCATCAATGCAGCACTCAATTTAATCTTTGTCTCCCTATTATGTTCATTTTCTTTCCAAGTAGAATACAAAATCCCTTTTAATCTCGGTCATGTTAAAATAAGAAGTTCCATTAATTCAATGACACTGCACAAAATATACGGAAAGGTCACTGGACTATTTAATTTTCTCCAGCATTCAAGTCTCATTTCAGCACTCAGCCTGAACTTTTAACTTTTCTGCTGCATGAAAAGATTTCTCAAAATAATGTTTGGCCATCATACATTTTACAAGAAAGCATCTCAAGAATCTGGTTTATATTAATTAAATAAAAATACAAAAGCTCATTTTACCTTTTCAGGAACTAAGCTTTTTCCATCCCAAGCCCAACTCCTCTTTGTGAAGTAGTTCACTGTGGCAAATTCAATAAGTGCTGAAAACACGAAAGCATAACAAACGGCGATGAACCAATCCATAGCAGTTGCGTATGCAACTTTGGGGAGTGAGTTCCTGGCACTGATGCTCAGTGTTGTCATAGTCAATACAGTTGTGACCCCTGAATAAGACACAAAAAAAACCTGGAATAATTTATTATAATATCTATAACTTTGCTTCCTTTAACACCCAATAAAAGTAAACAAGCCTGATCTTTTAATAATGTAATACAATTGTGATCAGTGCAGATTGAATCTTATAATTTAGCTACAAGCACATACTATTGGGAAATTAGCTCCCAGCCTTGCTGCCAATTTTCATACAAATGATCATTACTTTAGTAATGTACAAAAATGTACTTCCAAACAGCCATATGCTTAGTGATAAATAGGTCTGTGGAATAATCTTTTATTATATGCTACTAATTCATATTGTACCATGAAAGTTAAACTCCTGTCAGTGATAATTTTAGCACACAACTGCCATGTTTTCTCCCTACATCAAATTTTTATTTTAACAACATGAAAAAAAGTTATTCATTATCCTATATACTGAAATATTACTAGTATACTAATTATTTTAGGTATACCTTGATATTAAATCTATATGTCTGTTAGAAGATTGTCATTGGAATGATGCAGAGGAGGTTATCTAACTAGAACTGCACTGAACAATATTGGTCTGGATCTTCTAAAGAATGGCAATCATTAACGGATTGATGCTCTGCTTGAAATGTTCTCCAAGACTACACCATGCTCACCATGGATGCTGCACTCCACATTTCTTGGTCTTCCCAACCCGGCTCCTCCAGAAATGTGGAGTGCAGCATCCATGGTGAGCTCTAATGGATCACAGTAGAGTCAGCAGAAGACAGGGCACATCCCCTTTTTATGACATTGGTTGTGATAAAGTAAGTTTAAATATCAGTGAGAATAAGTGAAAGGGTGTATGAGTGAATGGATAAGATGCCAGGGTAGGTAGGTGGAGATATTAAGTCGGTGAGGTAAGTGGATAGGATGGCAGGTTATATCAGAAAGATGACAGAGGAAAACCAAGGTATTATAAGTCTATTAACCGATCACCCTTTCGAAAATTGTTATAAGCATAATTAAAGATGAATACCTTCATAATTTCCAGTTGATGAGAACTAACACGATTCTGTAAACAGTAGATCATAAGCTGATGAAGCTGAATAAATTTGTGGAAGAGGTGATTAAACTACTGGATAAGGTAAATCTTTGGATGAGATGGCAGAAAACGTATAAGTTGAAGCTTGTAGAGTTGAAGGAGAAGTGTTGACCCAGTTAGAAGTTAGTTAAGCAAGAGGAGACAGAATGGAGCTAATGATCCGATATTCTAATAGGGAACATGCAAGTGGTGGTGTTCCACAAGGATGTTGGGACCCCAACAATTCGCGTGTACAGTGAAATCATGACAGGTCAAATTCAGATAAACCAAAACTCCAGTCAGTTCAAAACCATCATCCAGCCATGGCAGCAAATCCAAGTGAAGCCATAAGAAGCCATAATACCAAAATGATAAATCCAGATTAGTTGAACTTGTGAAAGCTTGACATATGACCAAACAGAGCAGAATTAGGGGACAAAAGAGCGTGAAATCATAGATCTCTGCAAATCATCATTTGACATTAAGATCTTTCTGTGAAGGGATGTTCAAAGACTGTGAGGACGGCTAAAGCTGTGAGAAAGTTAAAAGTGTTGTCAATCGGTGAGAAGGCGAAGTTGATATAGCAAGTGGAAAGCCAATATATGAAAGGAAAAGTGGATGCAGCAAAGGAGTGGGACATTCTACTATTACATCTGTCAACCATTCTGAAACACAAGGTAATCATCTTTGAACAATCTGGCAGATCGGCATTCTCTTCAGCAAGCAAGAAGGTATGAACAGCTGCCTATCCCAACTTTGAATAGACTCTATTAACATGGTTCAAAGCAACCCATGCAGAGAATGTATCCATCTTAAGTCCATTCCTACAAGAAAGGGTGGCCATCCTGACAAAGTGCGACCACAAGGAATTCACTTGTGTTAATGGCTGATTGGACCAATTCAAGACAACATATGGCTTCACCTTCTGTACAGTAAGCTGTGAGGGTGTAGTGGGTGCAGCAGCAATGACAGATGCTTGGTTCCAAAATGGTTAGCTAGCTCCTGAAGGGAACGAGCGACATTGCAATTGTGAATGAAACTGGACTGTTTCAGCATCTTTTGCTAAATCATTCTTTTATGATTAGAAATGAAACATGTAATGATAGCAATCAAAGTAAGGAACATGTAACTGCTACAGTCTGTGCCAACATGCATTGCACTGAAAAGCTCCTGCAGCTTATGAGGAAAATCCAAGAAGCCACTATGCTTCTTTGTGAATGTGAAGACCCTACTCAAGCAGAATGAGGCTTAAAAACCCATGTGGACGACCTCCAGTATTTGTGAGGCATGTATCAGGAAAGTGGACGAAATATATCAAAGCAAGCTTAATTATCTTCAGTACAAACAACTGTCCACATGGCCTGACATTCTTGGACTCAACAATATCAAAGTCTTGTCTCCCAACACCATGACCAACCACCAACCAATGGATTTGGACAGATTAGGAACCTGAAAAGTAATTGCCAATGGCAGCTGATCTTTCAAGTTATTGAAACCATTAGTAAGAAACAGGATTACAATACAATACAAATGTTTGCGAGGCTATGTTCATGATAAAGAAGGTGCGGAAGATGGTGACAAAAGCCACAATTGCCAACTGCTTCTGCCACACCTGGCTCAATGAGCTAAAATTGCATAAGGTAGCGAGGACAAGAGTGAGGCCAAGCAACTCATTGACAAGGCTCTTTTCACTCACCTGCAGGAGGCAGGCATAGAAGTTCCATCAGACACAAACATGGGAACTTACATTGAGGTGGTTTACACAACAGAACTGACAGATAAGGCAACTGTAGGTATAACTGTACAATCTTCAGTCATGGAGGTGAATCATCCTGACGAGCCCAATGAGTGCCAACCCATTGAATTATAGGTAACACAATGTGGAGCTGGAGGAACACAGACAGCATCAGAGGAGCAGGAAAGTTGACATTTCAGGTCAGGACCCTTCTTCAGAACTTCATTGTTTCATTTCATTGACAACATGGTGAATAGAATCCTACTTATCCAAAGACTGCACACCACGCAGAAAGGTTTACCGAGTTTTTCTGCAGTTAATTCCTGACATTTTCCAATTCTGCAAGGGCAGGCAACTGACAGTTGTGGAGAAAGTGAAAAATAGATATCACACATTTACTGTTTTACTGCGTTTTCATTTGCTTTTTATTTTGACATAGAGTCCATTTGTAGGCAAATCACATTATATAGGAGTCTCTTTTTCCAACTTGAAGGGATGTTTAACACAAATTTGTGAGCAGATCCCCCAGATATATGCCGGCTATCCCTGATCAATCCATCAGGATTTGGTTGTATTTGAGCAAACTAGAAAGCCACATATCCTAATTATCTGGTAACACAAAGACTGGCAGCATGGTAAGCAAATAGACAGAAGCATAAAATTATAAAGAGATATTGATAGATTAAATGAGTTTGCAGAACTGTAGATTTCAATGCAGGCAAATATGTGATATTACAGGATCAATAAAAGGACAGAACAGGATGTTATGTGTACACCTTGCCTTTAAGAGAATTCACCTTTAAAGGACTTTGTGTGCTGTGCGTATATAACATTGTAACAGTGCCAGACAGTCTACTTTGGGTTTATAAGCTGTGCACACACAGACATCACACAGTTTGCTGTAACACCTGCTTCAGAACTTATAATGTGTTTTATTTTGTTTTTAAATAAATCAACCCATGGAGTTAATCAATCCCTAATGGTGATTGACCATTAAGCCATTATCATTAATGCAACATGCTCAACAGTAGTGGGAAACATCATAATGATGAGGCCTATCGTGCTTGATCAGTCAACAAGAAAGCTAATCTACAGCTAAAGCTAATCAACAATTAATACTAATTTATGGCTACATGGACAATTAAATTAAACCACATTAAGGAGAGCTCTTGTGGTGAAACGGTAGTGTCCTTTATCTCTAAGCCAGGAGGCCTGAATTCACTTCCCTCCTACTCCAGAGGTGTGAAATTATTGTTAAATCATGATAAAGTGCATGAGACTGCTGTCAATATTTTTGTTTGTTACTAACATATTTTGATGGTAAGCAGACAGATCTTTATTCAAAGATAACAAGGTGTAGAGCTGAATGAACACAGCAGGCCAAGCAGCATCATA